ATCCCTAACAAAAGATTCTACATTTTCATTTGGCCTCCCATAAAACATAAAAAAAAAATCATTTTTTAAAATTTTTTTTATTAAAAAAATATATTGAATTTTATAATACAACACAAATAACATTAACTTCATACTTGCAAAGTTAATCAATTGCAACACAATGATGATGTCAATCAATGGAATTAGTTGCTTCAAAATAGTCATAGCTCTCTCCTCTTCTTAACACACGATGAGTCTTATACTTATCAAGATCTTTTCAATCATCTAAATGATGTTTTGTATTTAGTTGGAGTTTAAGCAGAACAACCTCTACATTTCCACACTATGCTTATCATTCAAATTTTATGCAAGTGATTCACGCAGTGTCTTTATCTTGCTACATTTGTTTTCCATCGATAGTTTAATCATTCCATAATTGTCATAATAAGTTGTGTTTTGAAAATCGTATGGAGAATATGGTTCCAAGTAAAGTTTCTTTGAATCTTCAAATTCTGAATTTGTTGAGTAGAGAGCTACTAAGAACTTTGTGTTACTTCACTACAAAAAAAACTCGTTTTGAATTTCACTGTTGGAGATTAACTTACTACTTTTTTTTAACTCTAGTTTAAATTTTCTTTTGTTGAAATGTTGGGAGACCAAACATCAAAGTCTTGAAGTAATTTAAATTTCTAACTCACTTGTTCATTTATTTTGCCATAAGGTGAAAAATACTCAATATGTTTTTTCCAAAACGCTTAGTGAACAAAAATTGCAAATAACTAAAGCATAATGTTTTGTGCTCAAATTCTATTTTTGTATTTATTAGACTTTAGAAGATCATAACTTCATGCTTTAACTTGATCTTTGGACGCAATTTTGCCACCACATAATTTAGCTTCTAAATTATAATTGTGCAAGGTTTTGATACTGCAGATTGAATAATCCATTTGCTTGATTTGACGTCTAACAAAGCTAGCAATATGAGAGGATGAGTTATTAGCATAGTTACTCATCTTGACGTTGCAATTCAGAAATACTTTTCTTTGATTTAAATTTGATATGAGTTGCATCAAGTAGTTTTTGTTATCGAGGAGATTATAAACAACATCATTAAAGAACAATTTTTTTGTCATGACTGGGTTTATTATTGATTTAATATGGCAATAGAATTTGATCGCAGAAATGCATATCATCGTGTTGTCAATCGTTGGATTTTGAAAGAGAAGATCATCATTTGATTTTAAATCCATTAAACATTATTGTTGTTTATATTGAGTTAAAGCAGCCAACTTTCACTTCATCTCGCTTTTGGCGGGTTCCACTTCTTTCTATGCATCATTCATCACTTGAACAACTAACGCTTTCCGTGATATTCAAAGATGAAATACTCTTGTGCTTCAACCTAAAATGCTATAGATGATCTTAACGCATTCTTCTTTACCAACGTTGGAATAACTTGATTGCTTTATGCAAATTCAATTACAAATATTGATCTATCAACTCATGTCATAAGTGATTATTATGTAGTTTATCTATATGGTATCCAAGAAACTTTCATTGATTTGTATTCTTGGGTTGACACCTTACTTAATAAAGCCGATGAAACGATTAAAACCATCTTCAACACAACATTTTCTTTTTAATCATTACTGCATGCTATTGGATCTTGAAATTTGTGCTTATCAAGATCAAAATAACAATGCAATGGTCAATTTTGTTTATATTTTGCTAGTGTTATCACATGAACTCGTCCAACTATCTACAGTTGACTTTATTCAAAAGATTCAAAAATACATTCTTTTCATAAGAGCATTGTTACTAATCATATGAGATTGATCTCGTAACCAACAAGTACAAAGATAAAATTCATGCTCATAGATTTGAGTTGATGATTAAATACATTATCGATTTGCTTTCAAAATTTTTAATATTTAAGTATGTCTGATCTTCACTTGATGCTTGATTTTTGAATCTGATGATATATTGTGGTGTAGTTGCAACATTTTTTTCACTCGAACCAGTACATGAGAGTTTGACTTTCCAATCTTGCGATATGAGAACAATTTGTTCTGAAAACATTTATCAAACTTTAGATTAAAAGAATCATGCCGGCAAAACAGTTCTTGTTCACAGAACAATTTCAACATTGATAAATTCTAATCAATAATTTTGTTTTAAAACCCTCCTAAATTAGTCCAAATTAAACTCTCATAGCGAGATTAAGTTAATTTAGACAACTGAGTAATATAATCATGTCTGATTGAAATCACTTCATTTGTGACATGAATTCAAAATCTAATCTAATTACGATTATCACAATCACTTCACTTAGATTTTGGTTTCAACGTTTGAAAATTATATGCGAAAGATGCTTTGAAATTTGATCTTAGTTTCATTCAAGTTTGCCTCAATTGACTTTTGATAGCTTATCATGATTTCAAAAAGTTGGAATAAATAGTTACTTAAAATACTTTCACACTGTCTCTCCAATCACCATTCAACTCAATTTTTTTTTTAATGTTTAAAGATTTGTTGGAAATCAAATTTTTTGTATTGATAAAGCAATTACTCATGCAAAGATAATTCTAAATTTGTTTAAGATTATACTCTCTAGCTTTTTATTTAAACTACTATAAAATTTGCATCAATATTCATCATAATTTAGTATAACTTATTTTCACTAGAATAAATCTTGGTAGATATGATTAATTCTCATGACTTACATTATTTTTCAACATATCATTGGTTTACCCAGACATTTTAGAAGTTAACTTGTGCCTAAATTGACATGACAAAATTACATTAGTACCTTGAAACTTCTAAATCTTCAATTTGCCACTAGGTTTAATTAGACATAATCTAACAAATCAAACTTTTTTAACTTCATCAAACTAATAAAGATTGAAATTTAGTCAAAATCTTTTTTGATTTGAAATTTAAACTTTGATAGTACAAAAATAATGATGTTAATTCATAACTTTTAGAAACATTATTTTGCAAAGTATAGATTTCATACTTCAAAATTTAGTCATAATTTACTAATATTATACATGATCGCGATAACCATATTCAAGTTGTTGATTAATTCTAGAATTAATACATACATACAACTCTAGATCTTAAAGTGCAATGAAACAATTATCAGATTATTTCATTTCTGCTGAGCTTCTAAAGCTCAATATTTCATGCAACATGTGCACTTATTGTGATAATACAAAGCACTAAACTGTGCCACGTCTGCAAAGCCTAAACTTTTATCCAACATATATATTGTAGATTACAAGGTTAAGGATTTATTTAAATATATTATAGAGCCCAAACACTTTTTTCAGCATTATTATCTATTTTTGTAGAATTTTTTATTTTCAATTTAGTGTTGTTGTGTAGTGGAATAACCTTCTGTATGAACTAGAATTTTGAAAAACATGCTTTATAACACATGAAAACTAAGAATTATTATTCAACATGACTTTTGCATCAATAAATAACTAGTGATCATAGATCATAATTAGTATTCCATAATAAAATGATGATGTGAATGTGGATTATTTTGATGTTGTAAATATACTTTTGGATCATAACTTCAATTATTTGACTTAAAATTAAAATCAAACTTCAAAAGATTCTTTGAGCTTTTTTTCACTGATTTCAAAGTTTTAAATGATTTTTTTCAAATTGATTAAATGAAGAATTCAAACATGTAATTTGTAAGAAATCTATGATTTTAAAATCGATTTATGATATTCAACTTCTCAAGATGTTAAAATTAACAAAACATTGACGGTGATTTCATGTTAATGTAGAAGGTCGATATATTTATATGCTGCAGAAAAATCTATCGGTATAAACTGACATGATATGGATAAAGGTTCTAATATTTGAGTGAATGATACATCAAATCGAACGATATGATGACTGTTTTAAAATCGCTCACTGGTATGGCTCATGTTATTGGAGGAAAATGAACGTGTTTTGTGCAACGTAAGAAGCTATCAAATGTAACGCAGAAGACCGATTCATAATTATCGTTTGTTAATAACTCATAGTATTGTTTCTCTGTTCGGCAGTCTTGGCTAGGCCTGATTCATTTTACACCGCTGACATTTGTTGGCATATCTGTATGAAACAGATCTTCGGTTACGGTCATCCTTAACCTGTGGACGTCAAGTGGCATAGAAAACCTACTTATCTCATGCGACAGTGAGTTTTCAAGTCAATCTTCACAAAGGAAAAAAAAGTCCCAATTGACTAACTTTTAGAACAACTGGAACAATTTGATCTCTGGGGTCACTCCACTCGCGATTCGAAGCTGCTTCGCGGTGAAGTGGAAGATTGACATTCGGTCAAAATCAGTGCCTTGCTTAAACTTGACCAACACGTTTGACGTCAGTCCTCCTCGGACACATGAAATTGGACCAAGTTGAACCGTTCGATTGCCTGCCGGGTGACAAGCGGTCGTAGATCGTGGACTCGATGATCGTCGACAACGCTCAACATGCAAGATGTCAGAATAACTCAAAGACTTGTTGGCACATCTCTGTAGTTTCAATTCACGTTTCTAGGTTGCCGGATATAGATAAACACTGCCGTTGATAAATCGTAATTTAATACTTGATAGGGGCATGTTTACCAGTCAGGCTGGATTGTCAACGATTTGAGGTTGCAAATTGCAGAATAGTGTTCCATCTGAGGAGATGGATATGTCGTATCATGTCCTAACGCTAGAGGGAGGGCAGAGGAGGAAGGAACGTGCACTCCGATAGCCGTCGGATGAAAGCTTGCTTCCGGTGATGTCACATCCAGATTTAACACAGATGTGAAGAGGAAGTACGAGTGATCACCACGGCCGTCCAGATGACAATCGACGGAACAGAAAAAAACAGCTGTTTCCTTGAAACCTGCGAAGACTGGAAGAGGGGTAAGGGAGGAGAGAAGGGGAGAGGAGTGGCGGAAGGATCTCTGTGACTCGGAGGCCGATGGAGGAAGCAGAAGACCATAAGGGGAAGGGGAGCGGGAAGGGCAGTGTGTGGATTTGACGTGCGAGAGACAAACTAGAAGAACGATGACGACGAAGACCGAGACGACGACGACATGAACACAGGGGAATAGGACACCGACCAGCTGGTGCTGCTTCCGCTTCCGCGCGCTGCCGATAGATAGCTTGGAGGAGGGTTTGGGGATTTGGTTGTGATTGAGAGGAGTGGAGGAAGAAAGGCCTGGTAGTAATGCCTGAAAGATTGAGTAGGGAAGGGATGGGAAGAGTCGTGGGGATGTGATGAGATGAGGTAAGATGGTGATGGAGCAGAAGTGTGGGAACGAGTGCAGGAGATGGTGAGACCAGTATCACGCGAAGCTATACCCGACGATGTTTTGCAATTGTTCGGAGCAGCGCTGAGGCGCGGGAATAAAACTGTCATGGTCGTGGTGGTTCATCAGTACAGCTACGAGTTAGGGTTTGGTGCTAGGCGCTGGAAGAGGAGAGGAAGTGAAAGAGGAGGGGCAGAACGATGAGAAATAGAGGGTTTGGTGGAAAAAATTAAGGTATTTTTACCTCGCCCGGTGATGTGGAATTACATGGGGAAGCGGAGTATCGATTGTTTAGGGCAGTGTCCGGGGCAGTTTTTTTGCGCTGGATGTTTTACATTTTGGTGCTGGAGTAATACGGTGATATGCTGTCTTGGAGCTCCGACCACCACCGATCCAAATAATGTGGTTTTACCTCACCTCCCTCAAGAATTTGCACTCTCTTACATGTTTACAATTCTAGTTACTATTCTGTGTGGAGCGGGAGTCCTTTGGTTTGGAAGTTTACTGCGAGGATCTGTTTCCTGTCGACACTCGGGGTCAAAGTGGATTCTTGAGGGTGCTGCCAAATCTGCATCTAGTATATCGAATTCTGCGGTCTTGGTGATGAACGGTGTTGGCAGTGAGCATATGGAGAAACATTCATCTATGGTAGAAGAGCTTGTGCCAGAGATTACACACCATGCATTGAGCTACTTGGATTACAAGAGTCTATGCCGGGTCTCGATGACCAACTCGGCCATGAGAAGAGTTGCTAATGATGATAGCGCCTGGCGTGCTCTGTATCACAAGGTTTCATCTACACTCCTCCCACTGTTTTCTGTGTCCACGTGTGTTTTGAATTCATAGAAACGTTGCCTACTTGTTCGCTGAACAGCTGAAATGAATTGTCTTTTGAATGAAGTCTTTTGGCTGACATAGCATGGGTACTGAATTATGATTTGCATCTACTCCCCGGATTACAGGCAGGAATGCTGAAATATATTTTGGGTGTGGGGTCTTTGTAGGATTTTACTGTCGAACAAGATAGTGTCATACCCAGAAATGGATGGAAGTCGCACTATGCGGTTACTAAGGCTGTGTCGGAAATTAATCGAAACTTTTACAAGAAGTTCAAGGCGAAATCTTTGAGAGGTATGAGTCGGTTATGGCTGAAAGCGGACTACGTGAAATGCATTCATCCTGGAGGGGAGCTTTTATCAGGGTGAGTGCTTCTCTTTTATAATCAAACATAAGCTTGCAGTATATTTGGTTTTGTCCTTTCTCAAATGGAGTTTGTTGAAGACAAGTTAGTTAACTAAGATAATGATGATGAAGCTGAACGATTTATTGCAAATTACAAATTTTTCTCATCCAACGAATCATAAAATTAGAGCTGCTAAGGAACAGCAGTGACACAAAGTTTGTAGAGAATGTCAATGGTGGAGTATTGACTGAAGTCAGATGGTACGGGTGGAATGCGTGAAGGCTACATTTATGAAGAACCTCACATGTCTTTACCAGTATTTTTTTTCATGTGTATACCAAGAGAATCGTCATCAGCACATTCCACGCTAGTGGTTCTTTAGGAAAGGAAACCGGCCTTTAGACTCAAAGTTGAAGAAAGTTTTACTGCTTCCTCTGTTTTTTTCTTTCTCCTTCAAGGTGGTCAATATCATCAGTGGGCAAATTGTTCATAGCATTTCCACATACCCATAATATGACGAAGTGCTCCAGTTGAATTTTATTATTTTATTTAAAGTTGTAGAGAAAGTACTACGTTTTTACATCAACATTTTACATTTTGCAACCGAAACTCTCCAGACATAAGCTGACTACAGCCCTGCTACGCCTACATGAATTTTCGAACCATTCTGAAGCTCGATTAAACCCACCCACCAAACTAATGTTTGGATGGCAAATTCATGATTGGGGTTTTGGCCAGAGATGTGTGGGAAAAGTTAGAAGTAAATATATAATTTTTTTTTGAATTATCCCGTTAAAGCTCATTCAAGCCCCGGTGACACCGAACTAACGTTGGGGTGGCAAAGGCACGAATGGGGTTTTGGCCAAAATTGTTCCCCTTAAAGTTCCTGAGGAGATAGAAGTGAAATCAATGTCAGTCGCTTTTACTTCTCAACACTTTAATCGCTCACACTCCATCACTTAACGGTGACATTTTTTTTTCATCAAAAATTATACTTTAGTTATTCACGCACCAATATTTTTTTAAAACGCAGTAGCGGTTGTCTTTCCTCGTACTTTTTAGAGTTTATTCCCCGTGTCCAGTGTTTTTGGCTCTAATCTCTACTTTAATTTAATCGACAATCATTACGTCAACGTATTACATTCTGAATTCTTAATTTTCTACTAAATTTGTCCTGGATACCGAGGCATCCTTTGTTGGATACCTGGTTCTAAGCTTAACTTAATTATTACAGAATCACTACCCACCGTTAGTTTACTCTATAGATGTTGATTATCTTGGTCCATTTTTGCTAGATACGATGGGAGCCTCTGTTGTACGTATGGTGTGCCCCTCTGCAATCTCATATATCTCGAAAGATCAGCTCACAAGGCATTATCAAATATAGGAAGATATTCGGTCTGTTCATACATGCTTTAGTGTTAAAACTACTGTCCACCACTTCAAATACGATCGTCTCTTAATGAGTAAAGCTCATGGGGTAAATCTTTGCCTGAAATTGCTGTACAAAATTATAACAAGGTTTCCCCGGAGCTGGCTTTTTCTGTTGTGTACTACATTATGGGCGTGGAGAATGTTTGAATATAGAATCCCTCAGTAGTGTAAAATTCCAGTTTAGCTGCTGGACATGTTTGTTAGTTGCAAGCAAATTACATTTGTAGTGCACAAGTATCCTGTTGGAGCTTCGTTTATATACTCTTTTGTGTCGCAAATTTTTCTTTGCAGGTACGACGTGATCATGGAGAATTGGCGTGTAGTGTTTAACTGGAGTCAACGTTATGATTTCCAGCTGAAAGATGTACGGGTGAGAGTAGTAGGTGACATGGCATGGGTGACAGCAAAGGAGTTTGTGAATGCATCGAGACAACCCCTTCTTGCAACAAACTGTTATGAGTTGCATGATGGCCAATGGTTCATTGTCCACCATCATAGCTCGCCACAAATGGAAGGAGGAGGTGCTGATTTCCAATTGTTTGTATGATGTGGTATCCCGAACAGTTACTACTGACGAACCACGTAGGATGTTTGCCTTGCTGTGTATCTTTGATGAAGTTCACAAGAAGGTCGATTGAAATGGTTAGTCCTTGGTTGTTGAGGAAGATAAGATGGTATCATCTCTTGAATCTGTACATAAGTATTCCTTCTTCTGATCAATGGCTTGACCTATCTTTCTGTCTGGAGTGCGGAGACAAACAGTGGGGAATAGATTAAGACCAGAATGTCAACTTCTTTTGGGAACCTCTGAGGTTTGTCTCTGTCATGTCATTGACTCTGTTTACCGGGCATGATTAAGATGGAATTAGGATTTCCCATGTAAATTGTGGAGTGCAAAGATTCTAGGAGGTCAAGGATATATGAGCTTTTGTTCACTCTCTTCATGCCAAGCGCATTGCCAGTGCACAGACTATCTGGCTACTTTTTTGTTACCTCTTATCCTTTGGTTATAACCTGGGTTGACTTTGTGTTTGTCTGCGCTTTGCACAATGAGAAATATCTCGACAAGCGGGTGGCAAACCACAGTAGCTAATTTGGTTCCTCACCCCTCTCATGGTAAGCATCTACTTTTCAGTTTGTCATTTCAGTCCAATTTACGTCCTCAATGTGATGGCAACTTTGAGCTACTTTATCTTCGGGTATGAAAGAGTATATTACTCTATTGCAGGAGAAGCCACAAGGTTGGCTTTATACTCGATAAATTTTTAATAGGTATGAAGGAATCCGATTTGCTTGTGCCCCTAAGATACCATGTTGTATGACACACCTTAGATGTAACTGATTGGGAACTGTGATCATCAAGGCATACTTACTCGGATGCAATAACGAACATTTTGTTTTGTGTCATGACTTAGCAATCGGTGATTGAAGTGGTCACTTGCTTGAAGTATTCGTATACAAGTTTTAAACACCACCAAACAAGAGATACGAACTACACTGACCTTCCGGATAGAATGCCTTTACCACCTTCACTGCTTGCAATGTCTATTATGTTTCTAGCAGCAACACACTAATTGAAAATAAGTGTCATCTTCGTGTGATCATTGCATAAGTAGGTCAGTGGAAGTGTACGCTAAGTCTGCTCGAACTCCTGTAGGTTATGACAATCGTCAACTGATGGCTGAACCAACTGATGCATTACCCCAGTGCCCTAAGAGTGGAAACTGAGAAGGGGGCATGAGGTTACAAGCCAGGAAGTCTGGTATAGGAGTTGTAGAATACTTACTATCCGCCCTTACTACTGTGGAGAATCCAAGTTGAAGAACACATCTCTCTAATCTCCCGCACTCTGTAGCAGGGCTGATTCACAGGTGAAGACAGGGTACATTCAACTATGGACGTGTTCCTCACTTGGTTTCCGCAGTAAGCCCGAACACCCATCTGGAGTCCTCTTCTTTGGTTTTTCGTATGACCCTTTCACCATTCGCGCTTACTCAGGGAATGAGCGCGTCTTCAAGACACAAAGAATGTGTTGATTAATGATGAATGATATGATCAGTTTATAGTCTCGGCCTTCCGGTGTCTGATGTCAAGGAACAATGTACTGTTCTGTTGAAGCCGTAACCACCTCCTTCAAATAACCCCATGATTAACTTTCGGAAAGAATTTTTTCTGTTTATTATAGCAGTAAACAAGTAGGAAAGCAATAGACAACTAGACAAGCTGAGTTCTCCTGTCTCTTACTTTGTTCATGTATATCACATTTTCAAGGGTAGGCAATAGGTTAAATCTATTACACTCATATCGTGTTAGTGGTATATTACGAAATATAGTAAAAGAAGAAAAACGAGATAAACAAGGTCTACTCATTGCAGGCAACGTAGATTTAAATTAAGTTACGTGACAATATCGAATGTTAGAACTTTTAACAAGTTTGATGTTGAAATATCTCAAAAGATTAAAGTAATAGATATAATTATCGGGATGATTTGCATGTGCATTTAAGAAATATTTTCTTGATTTATATCTACAGCTTTTGGATTGTTTTTTGTCAAACTATCCATGTGTAACTAACTAATCACAGTAACTAGGAACTTCAAAATTTGTGAAATAGTTTGACCCATGTATTGATAAAAGGTTTGAAGTTTAAGACATGTTGAAGATTATATAGTATAACACAAAAGTAGGTTTTGTCTGAATTCCGTCTTACATGTTTACTTCCACAAAACTTTTATCTTTAAGGTAAAAAATCTCGTTCATTTTACTCAAAATTGGAGTTATATATATATATATATAATGTTGTATAAATGTCACTACATGGTTTCAAGTTGTAAAAAAGAAGTATCTTAGAAAGCAAAATTTCATGAACTAACAAAAAAAATTAAACAGAACTAAATCTATCTAGTGAACATACATGAGAAATATGTGTGTTGAAATTTACAATATTAAATATGGTAATGTTATGAAAATTATATATTATCATCAGTAGTACACACAACCAAAAATTAAACTTTGAAATCTTAATAGAAATTAACATTTTCATGATTTCGTACCATGTACAAATTAACAATATCAAAATTAATATTCAACTTCAATATCTAACTAGCAGAATACCAAGCTTGTTATCCAAATTGGAAATTACTAACAGGCTAAATTGCTGAAGTGTACTTTTTACCTCTGTCAAATCTACAGACAGACTGAATTCAAGGTTCTATCTTTTCACCTTCATCAATTTACCCAACCCAATCTGCGAAGCACAAGCGAACTATTATTCAGAGCTAAATGTTGGGGTTAATTTCTGTTTCGGGTCAACCTCTGTATTTAGCTAGTGAACCTTCTGGATCTGGAGTATATAAACAGTTATTTCTGTAACTGAACCACTTGATCAATATCGAAGCGCGTTTTTCCTGTTCCGTGGAAGTAACCCGTTAATCTATGACTTTCTGAGTTTATTCGTGTTTATTGTATGATCTTTGTTTGATTCTCGGTATAGGACTTAACAGTAAGACACAGAAACAGAAATAGCCGAAATTTCTGTGTTGCGGTACCGGTAGCCTGTGGAAATCGACAGCTGAGGCAGAGGATGTTGAGAAATTGAGGATATCGAGGTTTGATTGGGAGATGAGGGCTTGTGCCCTTCTGAGCTGGTCCTGGGTCGGAGTTGAACTGAGTTGGACGTTGATATTGTGGATTGGGAGCTCCTGCTGCTTATAAAAGTTTTCACTAGATCCACCCCGACCGTATGCACACCGGGATGACGGTATACGTACGCAGTTCACCGTCGCCGTTGCCGTCGACGAGGGTTTCGACGAGTGACTAGTTTCCCAAGACGAGGTGGCCACGGCATTTTCGTCTCGCGTTTCTTCTTGGTCCTGGCCAGCGATGGCGTCACCGTCTCGCTTTTCTTGGAGCTGGGCGATGGCGTATTCTTCTCCGCTAGCTATGATCGAACTGGAGAGTGATACCAGTGCCTTCGCTAGATGCACTGCAGAGGTTCCGACTTCCGGTGCACTTTTGCTTTGAAAACGATTTCCGCTTTTGCTTTTCATCGTTTTTCGCGGGTAATATCAAATAATCTGCACCAACTCTGTGCAGCATATGTCTTTTCGGTGCTGTAATCAGATTGGCAACATTGTGAGGGGAAAGCGGGTATGCTGCGCAGTGTGGCAATACTCTTCGATCGTTCGTAGGAAGACGCATTCGACGGCGCAACGGGTCGTCGATAGTTCTAAACTATACAAAGTGTTTGTTACAAGATTCAAGCCCTCGAAAAGAAAACATCCCGTGGAGAAGTACGATGTGGACTTGCTCGACGTGTATCGTAATTGAACCCGAGTTCAACGAAATGAGCGCGTGAGGCCGTCGAACACCGAGTCCCGAACAGGTTGGCGATGCTGGCTATCGGCGGCCTTAATTGCCACGACCGCCGATGCCTAAACTGCCGTTTTTCAAACAAATTATATTGTAAATTCTCATTTCATATATATATATATATATATTTATTTATTTATTGTATTGAAGGTTATACCAGCTTTACTCCACTCTAATCTGTAGTATGTGCTGGAATAACCTTCAATACAATCTGTGGTAATAACAATCAATTCGCTACTCAATTACAGTGAACTTTAGAGTCGCACTAACCGCATAATCATCCAGTCAATAGAAGCAATAATATCTCATCTGCAGGATATCTCGCAGCTGAGATTAAACCGCTGTCCATCAGATCTACGAACTGTGCTTCCCCATCCACAACTCATGCAAGTCGAAATCGATCATATTCGATTGCAGCTTGAGGTTCCAGGAATGCCTGAACTGTTCGAGGCGATGAACACTCGATGACACCGGGTCACGTCACGTGTCTCACATTAGGCACACCATCAGCCCGGCTCATGGTGAGTTTAATTCGAATCCTAGAGTTGCGCGGCTCCATTCGAAACGATGAGTGATTTCTTTGACGCGACAGTGAAACACGAAGCCGTCACGACGGTGACCGTATGCCGTGATCCAGAAGGTATACGGTCGGGGTGGGTCTAGGCTGCAGTCTTATAAAACTTTTGCATGGAACTCTACTGTAGGGAATTGTCAGATCTGACACGCGGTGCAGCATATTGCTCAGGCTGATTTGCCCTTGGAAGTGGACCTGACTTCAAAGAGTGGAGACTCGAGTATCTTACTGCGCTTGGATAAAGTCAAAACCCTCCCTGAACTTTACCGCCGAGATCGCAGCATTTGGACGCGGGTGGAAGGTCACTACGGGAGGCTGGATCTCGACGACTGCAGCCCCAAACAATTTTACTGAAGATTCTCGGTTGACGAGGTGATTTGTCGGGAACGGACCAATCACGGAAACAGTTACTCTGACCTTTTCGTCGCTAAGTCCAAAGTCTCCCCGTTGACGGGTTGAGATGAAAGGAATATATCTATGATCGTGAGAGTCTAGATTGTTAGAATGTTCAAGAGTCATGTTTTTATGCTCGGTCATGTTTTTATGGAATAAATCAATTGATGGGACACATCGTAACACAAAATACTTGATGGGGTTCTTTAACAAGGATTTCTAGCTTTCGAGAAGATGAGTTGTAAACTTTCAGAGTCTATAAACACACACATTATAGCCCGCGTATATATACAGTTTTTAGAATTCGTAAATAAACCGTAACAGGTTTTAGAATTTGAGTACGGTGTGCCGTAGTGTAAAACGAAACTTAAAAGTTCCCATGAGTGATTTGTGTTTCGATGGCACATAAATTAAATTCTTATTCTTTTATGTATAAATAGGTAAACTCGGCCGGGTTCTGAGTACTATTCTGATGGGTCCGAAAATAAAATCGGCTACAAAGTTTACTTGCCTGGAATCGTTCGCGAGCTATGCTCACTTTATTTTCTTGGTATTAAGCACTTTCCGGAGAGGGCGAGGCGGCCAACTGACTGCCGCTTCCGTGGTTGCACATTTGGCTGGTCGCCAGGTTCATCTCATGGGCACTTGGTGGGTTTCCGACACGGTTTTCATCAGCAGGAATGTACTGTACATTCCTGTAGACTAAGAAACTTGGAGGAGAGAGTCTCAAACAAGAGAAACGAGCAATCTTTAGTAGAAGTATGTTTTTCAAGAAAAACTTTCTGTTGTAGAATGGATTTTTGACTTCGCACTTTGCAATTGCCACATGAATAGAAAAGTCTTTACAATATTAAAAGTACAGAGTTGACATCTCAGAACGAAAGGCATATACAAATAAACATGAGACCTAAACTATAGAAGTGCAAAAGATCTCAAGCTGAGACTTTTTTAACCTTAATTTAAGTCTATTTATATCTCTTGTAAGTTTGAATCAAGTCTATTGGAAGAACTAAACTTAAGTGCTTTCTTTTGTTATTGAAGTATAGTACGTAAGTACAAGCATGTTGGACCCACTAAAAGATGGTGTGTCACTAGCTAAAAACTATCAATCCATCGGTGAAGACAATATATTTCTAGTCTGACAAGCAAAATTGTTCTTGTTGTCACACTAGATTCTAGGGTTTTGTCTCTAGGACCAAAGACAAAACATATGCACTGTGTTGTAATCGTTAGTCTTCTCATTTTATCACCGTAATATGACTCAAACACATCTTCGCGATGGAACAAGAAGCAAGCGCTATCTCTAACCGAGGGTCTAAACGAGGTATGAAAAAATGGCCAACTGCTAAAAGACCACGATCAACTCAATGGGTGGTCAATCATAAACGTGCACTTTCACAATACTCTGAAAATAATATTTCTTCCAAATTCAAAGGACTCACTGTATATCCAGCCTAACTTTTACGCTAAGGGTAATACCATAATGGATATATAATTTTTAATGAGCTCTTTGTACCCAAATTGTTCATACTTTTGGAGCACGTAGTAAATTCACTGCGTTCAATCATAAGCAGTTATTTGCAGGATGTGAAGAATATTTCATCAAAATCCCATCAATTAAAAGCTGGATATATACACCAGCGTATATATTTCGCAAGAAGATAGTCACTGCAGCTCAAAAAAACAGTTTACACAAAATCCTGGAACTAAATTCAATATGAAATATATAAACATAAGTACTACAGGAGACACCTAGTAATATGCCAAAAAGTATGTAAGAATCAACATAGGGATAGGGATGAACAATCAGAATTAAATACTACTATTAGGAAAATATGTATAATTCTCTTTAGTAACTAGGATTTTTTAATAAAAATCCAACTGGTCATTGCAAGTAAAACTCTCAACCGAATGTATTAAAATATTGTAGTTGCTATTTGAGGTCAACAAGCTCAAGTTCGTTGAGGTCAAACAAATCAGATGCTGCTCCTTGTTCACGACATTTCGCCACGCTCTGCAGCTACAGGCCGGGAAGCTAACACGATGTAAAACTCTCTCGGGTATAAGAAGGATTCAGCATGACCTTGCAACATATCTCTCACCAAAGCTCAGCCAAGTGAACAACCAGCTCTAATAAAAGCCGTTGTGCTCTGAAAGTAAGTTACTTCCGAGCTCTAATCATCGATGCTTCTTTGTTACATTAATAAAGCGCATTTACGCACTTTCGGGAGCACATCTCTAGACCTGGCGAGCGATTGTAGATATTTATGTGTGGAATGTGTTGGGATCCTGGTTTCAGATTGATCAGCTTAGATGCTTCTCTTTGTGAGATGTTTTGAAAACTAATTGGGAGTATCGTTTATACTATCCAATTTCACAAAGGACATGTTGGCTTGCAGATCTCCAGATCTATATCGCTAAAGAACCATGGTCACAATGAAGCTGGTCGTTGTTCTTATGATGACAACTGTCGTTGCCGTCTGCGCCCGTGACCCCGAGCTCACAACCGACTTCGCCGTCCCAGTAGGAATGAACGCTTCCACTGGAGATTTCTTCACATTCACAGGGCTCAGAAACTTCTCCGCTGCTCCAAACACCTTCGGATCCAAGAAGGTTACTAATGTCGAATTCCCCGCTCTTACTGGACTTGGCGTCGGTATGACTCTCCTCGAGTACAAGCCCAACACTTTGAACCCTCCCCACATCCACCCACGTGGATCAGAGCTCACCTACGTCATGACCGGAGACTTGGACGTCGGTCTTATCGACTCTGCCAACAAGCTTTACTCTGCCCAACTCCAGGCGGGTGACTTGTTCGTGTTCCCTCAGGGTCTGGTCCACTTCCAGATCAACATGTCCAAGAAACAGAGCGTTCGCGCCATCTCTGCTTTCGGTAGCTCCAACGCCGGCACCATCTCGTTGCCCAGTGGTATTAATTTCTGGTGTTAAGGACGAGGTTCTCCTCAAGGCTTTCAATATCACATCCGCGGAGTTGTTGACGCTGAAAGCTCCATTTATGCCGACCACGAATGTAAGTTTGGCTTCATGCCGACCATTCTGCGGCTGAAAGAACCTGAAGTCTCCGGGAGGATGTACTGCGTTTTGCATGCTTAGTACTTTCTTAGACTGCCCATCAGCTTGATGCGGATGTAGTACATGTTAAGAACTGTGCTACCACCATAAGAACTGTTGAGTTTTAAGTGAATGTCGTCGTGGAAATTGCTAACGGGTAATATAAGTGTACTTTTAACCTCTGTCAAATATGTAGACTGAATTCAAGGTTCTCTCTTTTCACCTTCATCATCCCTGTAGAAAGTGTTGAGATAACCAATCTCTTATAATAGAGAAGGTTTACGCCAACCCTAAAAACTGTTGAGAGGTCTAATGGACAGTCTCTATTAATATAGGTTTACGCTAACACTAATACTCTCGTATAAATATGAGACTGTAACATCTTCCGAACTCATTAATATACTTTTTGAGAGTATTCAAGAGCTCTGTTCACAGAGAGATCCAAGAGCATTGTTTCATTTGTCTCAGTATTTTGTTCTTTCACTTCCCTTCTCACAACACGTTACCAGCACGCTTGCTCATGGCAGGTTTCAGTTTGCACGTGTCATTTTGCAGTTGGCATACTTCCAAGTGCTTTGAAAATAGAGCACTATTACGCGTGAAGAAGGGCTGAAAGATCGTAAACGACTTTGTGTTTTTGGTTTGGAGCTCGGTGATAGGTTTTTTTGTTGGCGTGTGAGCTCATTGTGGAGTGTTTGACAGTGCTTCAGATTTTGATGGACTTAGAGCGCCAACCTCGCTGCAGTTGCTACTGTTCCACTCAACATCGGGTATCTTGCCGATCACTGGGAAGTACCGCAGAGCTTAGGATGAAGCTTGACGTTGAAAGCTAGGCTTACTACTCTAGTTTGTCCTGGCGGATCTGTAGATTTGTTGTTGTCCTGCTTCCTTCTTGTTGCTCTTTGGCAGTCTTTGAAACGTCATTCTCTCTATCTACACTTCCCTTTCCGTAGTCTCGTCGATTCGTCTCCACCTCATCTCTCACTTCCACTCGTACCTTTGGCGATTCTTTTGTACACAAGTACCAGAGAGTCTTGTGTACAAAGGAGTCTTCTTGTTCACGGAGTAGATAGTTAGATTAACTATGACGTCAGCAGCACACTCCAAGTACAGTAGAATCACTCCGCTCTACTTCGAACCTTTAGCACTCGATGGGACAAATTTTTTAGATTGACACTTCAACATAAGGACGTATCTCTTCGCCGAAGAACTAATCTACACACTACAACCAAACTTGGAGAAACAGATTGAGCCAGCGCACAAGTGGCAGACACTGTTGATACTTTGTCAAAACCTCGACCCATCGTTACGTATGCAGTACATACACCAGGAGGATCCGACAATTCTATGAGCGGCGCTCAAATCACGCTTCCAGAATGAAGAAACAATCATCCTACCACAATCCCTGAGTGATTGGTTGAGCTTCCGAGTCCTCTACTTCGCAAATTTTTATAGTTATGATTCACAATTGCATCATATCGTTGTCCAGCTCCACATCTGTGGCCAGAGCATCACCAATGTCGATATGATAGATAAGACACTTTCAACTTTTTCTTCCGCATGTGCCATTTTATCGCAACAATATTAAAACATTAACCCATTAAAACTTAACCCATTTAAGTTTTAAATGAAATTTAAAAATTCATCAAACACGCTAATCTGATGCGATACGTGAGGATTGGTATAAAGCAACAACAACTCTTACTAAAGATGGTCGAGACTCGACCTGCAAGAGAAATTCTCAATATGGAGGCCTCGAAGCACATCAAAACCAGCTCAACTTCAAGATCCGGAGGTACAAACGACAAATCTCATGTTCCTACTGCATCCAAACGCACGCCACGAGAAAATTAGAGGCACAATCCGTCCAACAAGTATCAATGATATGACAACAAAACTTCTCAGTCTTAGTTTCAATTTCAGTCTCGATCAGAATACCAATCTCAGTCACCGTTGTCTCCTGAGATCAAAAATAATTGTCATAAGTGTGGTAGACTTGGTCATCGGGCACGCAATTGTCACGCTAGCAAGTTTATATGTGACATGTATCAAGAACTCCAGTCCTTGAAAGTTGCGCGACGAGAGTCTCATACTGTAGATGCTCAGTCTTTTACATTTACGGAGTTAGATCCAGAAAACTATATAGTAACGAGTTATGGTACTATCAACAAGGACAATATCGCGCTCCTTGACAATGCCTCCACCGTTTTGCTTTTCAAAGATCAGACTTACTTTGAGTTTCAAACTCAAAACAAGCCGTGGCAATCTTGTGAATTTCACAATCACAAGAATGCAAAATTTGGTATTCCGTGAGGGTCGGGCAACAATAGTCTTGTCCAAAGGAACCCTACTCACCTGCGAATTGCAACCTCCAGGCTGACTATCACTTAGGATTACCTTAGATGGTTTTGTGGTAGCTCATTATGGTTCTAGAAGACTAGAATTCTCACTCATACTTGTGTCTCAAACACACTTTCACACAATCTTCTAGAACTCCGCTAATTATTCCTCCAAATATAGACAATATAGCTAAACTTAGTCATGACTATATAAACTTAGTTATAACTAACTAGTTTAGTCATAACTAGTTAGACTTAATTATGTCTTGGCTAATCATCGTTAATCACTTGGCTACTTCTACAACTTAGTACACATATGTAACATCCGGTCTCACATTTACCCCCAGACCAAGATTTCACATTGCCCTCGGAGTGAAAGAATCTGATCTTCGATGAAAAAGTTTCAACTTGTCGTGGTTGACTCTATCAAAGTGTCATTCTCCTAACTCCTTGATGTCATAAGTGAAATTTCCCACACCTTCTCAACTATGAAAGGGCCAAAGTACTTATGAAGAAACTTATTCCTAGCTCTCTTGTACCTAATTGCGTCAAAAAACATCATCAAATCAGCTTTCTTGAATGACTTCAAGTTGTGAGTTCCGATTTGCTTGTCGTGGTACTTCTTCTCCAATTGTTGAGCTCGCTCTGCTCGTACCATGGCCAAAGCTCAAGCTTTCTCCAACTCCATCAGCTATTGTTTGCGAGACTTGACAGCTTCCACTCCATTCGCTTTCTTCATCTTCTGTTGAATTGTTGTCAATGTTGTCAAGTCAAATTGTATGGAAAGTTTTGACTCAACTCCATACACCATCTGAAAAGGTGAATACTCGGTTGACGTGTTCCATATTGTCTGATACTTCCACAAGATAGCATGAAGACTCTTGTCCCAATTGTGTTTACTCTCGTTTATGTCTACATACTTTGTTAGCATCATACACAGAGTGTAGTTGGTCCGCTTTGCCAACCTGTTAGCATTAGGTTTGTAGGAAGTGGTCACTCGAGCCTTGATGAAAAAGTGCTCCAACATGGCTCGAACCATACTTTCCACAAATTCTACTACTCTATCCAATACTAACTCCAATGGACAACCAAACCGAGTTATGATACTCTCATACAAAAATCTACCAACCTCCTTCTCATTGGTAGATTTAAGTGGTCTTGCCTCTATCCACTTGGATAGATAATCTGTAGCTATCACAATGAACTTATTTACTTGAGGAGTAAGATTCAAAGGAGCTACAAAATCTTTTCCCCACTTTTCAAAAGGATCTAACACCGATACGAAAATCATAGGAGGAGTTTTCATGGACTTTTAAGCAAAAGCTTGACATACATCACAACTCTTGCAATGTTCCACACAGTCTTTGAAAATGCCCTTCCAATAATAACCAGCATCAAGAATCTTGAGAGCAGTATCGATTCCAGCAAAATGTATTCCACATACTGTACCATCATGAAACTCCTTCATGAGTTGTAGTGCCTTTCCTCTCCCAACTGCCGTTCGTAGAAGTTCATCAGCTCATTGACGAAAAAGTACCTTCTCCATGATCATGTAAGGTTGACATCTCTTCACTAATACATTTTTCTCCCTTTGATGCATTTCTTGAGGAAATTTTCCTCTAGAGATGAAATCCCAAATTTCCTTGTACTACTTCGGTACTATTGTCACCATGTCCATAACCAGCAAGTCCTTATTCGGAAAGGTGTCATATACTGATTGATCTCCTCTATCATCATATGCTCTTGACATCAAATCCGCATTAGCATGCTTCTTTCTGGGCCTATCCTCAAAAATATAATCAAACTTTGCTTATAGTAGCTTCCATCTAGCTATCCTCGCCTCAGCATTAGGCTTGTTGAAAATGTATTTTGAAGTTTTATGATTAGTCACCATAGTGAATCTTCCAACCAACAATAATGTCAAAACTTCTTAAGTGAAAAGATCACAACAAAGATCTATATTTCTTTCACTGAGTAGTTCTTTTCCACCTGCACCATCTATCTACTAGCATAGACAATTGGATGATCATGTTTTTCATCATCTAATTGACTCAAGGTGCATCTTACAACAATATTTGATGCATCTGTGTAAAGAATGAAATGTTTACCCCAATCCGGTTTTGCCAAAATTAGAGCCGTCACCGAAGCCTTCTTGAGAACTTCAAACGTCATCTTTGCTGCTTCATATTTGAAAATAAGTTTGTACTCCACTCCCTTCTTCATGTAATTTGTCAAAGCATGAGCTTTGTTGGAGAATGACAAGATGAACCGTCGATAATATTGCAACACTAGGGTTTAGAGAGAAGCTCACTCGAAGATAGAAACGTAAACTCTTAAGATGAGAGATACCAACAATGGTTCTCCTCTCCCTTATATAGCTCTCACCAACAAGTACAAGGAGATAAGATCTTATCCCCACCATACATCTCATTCCTAGTGGATGGATGACGTGGCGGATAATTCCTACAAGCACACGGATTGCTGACGTGGCACTGTCAACTAACACATCCACTTTGTACCTACCAAGTGCGCAGATCGCTGAAGTGTCAGCTATGACTAGTGCACACTAAAGTATCTATATCAATATTTAGAGTAACCTCTACTTTAGTTCTAACTAACTAAAGATGGTTACAAGTACCCACCATACCAAGGAATTGCCTCAACTTGATCAAAGTCAATGTTAAAGATAACTCAATGATCCGCGTCAACTTCTCTAGATCCACCGCTAAACCATTCTTGAAGATGATATGACCCAACAGTAAGACTTTCTTACATCCAAAAATGCATTTTTTTGTATTGAGTGAAGCTTTAGCTTCCGTCAACTGTTGAAGTATTTTGATCAAATGATCAAAATGATTCGCTTTACTTCCATAAACAGAAAAATTTTCTATGAAATC